ATGCGGGACTCGATCCCGGGACTCCAGGATCATGACCTGAGCCGAAGGCAGTCGCTTAACCAACTGAGCCACCCAGGCGCCCCATCTAAGTTTAATGATTTATCACAGATTTGAAAACATGTTTCTGTACAATTAAGTTAACATGCGAGTCACAGGATGGCAAACGGGTATTTTTTCCATATTAAATATTTTGTGACGTCTAAGATGTAATAGTCCCCATGGCAGTGGTCAGGTCGGACAAATGACGGGTTTTATGCTTGTGTGTTTGTCTGCAGTTTGTAAACTACACTTAGAGACACAGGTTCAAACGGGTGCAAGAAATAGAGCTGACATCGGAGCTTCAGGAGTTTTGACTCCTCATCGGTGCTCTCTGTGGGACACCGGAAAAATTGTCCTCATGCCCGCCGCCCGTTCAGGAACTGGGGGAAAGCAGCTGCTGATGAGCTGCGTGAATTTCTCAGAGGCCTCCAGGCACCATTCTCGGGTGTCCAGTGGGTCTCAGAGGTTCACTGTCCATCTCGAAAGGGTCTTCTATGCTATCAGATCACAATGACCCAACTCTCAATAGGCCAGCCCTGCAGGCTTTTCCCTGGGAGCTAGACATCCCCGTACAAGGCTCCTACTGCAGATCAACTCAGTCTCTGGAGCCATTTGTACACAGTTAACACCGGACTCATGAGGCCACACTGCTGCTCCTTGGACTTTGACGCCTGCCCAGCACCTTCTCCTTCCTCCTTCCCCTCCCACTCAGAGACTCCCCGCCTTGGATATACACACCCAGCATGTGTTGCAGCCAGCTCTTCAGTTCTTGTCCGTGCCACTGAGAAACCGTGGTTTCTTATTGATATCATATAGACAAGTGCCCAATAGTAGGTACTTAGCACCGTGCTGACCGCCGGGGATACAACAGACAGGTGCCCTTGCTCCTGGGGACAAGATCAGCATGCAGGGATTCATTCGTGAACCAGGTGGCACTTTGTTTCAGTACTAAAACAAGTGGTATTTTGTCTCAGTCTCATTATAATTTCATTTTTGTAGTGTGGCCTAAAAAACCTAGGCTCCCCCCAAAACTCAGCCAAGTGCATGGTAAAATTCGACTTATTCATTCATTTAACAAATATTTAGTAAGCACCTATTATTAGCCAGATGTCAGGACTATAAGAGAGGACAAAACTGTCAAATACCCCTATTCTCTTGGAGCTTACGCTATCACAGAAGGAGACTGAAAAATTGTGTCAATATGTAATCTGAGCTGAGAATTTTGAAGAAAAACCAAGCAGGGTGAGGGAGAGAGAATGACCCGAGGCAGGGGTGGGGGGCCTGCTCTTTGAGGTAGGGTGGCTAGGAAGGCCTTTCTGATGAGGTGACTCCAAGCAGGGCCCAGCAGGAGATGAGGGAGAAGCAGCAGTTTGGAGGAAGTCCTTCCCGGTGGGGGGTGGGGGGGTGGCCACAGGGGCAGATCCTCCAAGTGGCCAGTGGCCTGGCCTGTTTGAGAAAGAAGAAGTCACCAGCTGAACTCCTGAACTCCACCGTTTCCTTGTCTGCAGGCCTGTGGGCTTGTTGGGAGGAACGGATGAAATCATTTACAGAAATATTTATGTCCACCATCAAGCACTGTGTAAAAGTTGTCCTCTTTGTGTTGACTTTGTCAAGTTTTTGTAGAGTGTCTAAACCATCAGGATTATAATTATTATATTACAGCTCTGCCCTTTCCTTTTTTTTATTACTGTGGTGAAATTCACATAACAGGGAGCCTGGGTGGCTCAGCTGGTTAAGCGACTGCCTTCGGCTCAGGTCATGATCCTGGAGTCCCGGGATCGAGTCCCGCATCGGGCTCCCTGCTCAGCAGGGAGTCTGCTTCTCCCTCTGACCCTCCCCGCTCTCATGCTCTCTCTCTCATTCTTTCTCTCAAATAAATAAATAAAATCTTTAAAAAAAAAGAAATTCACATAACATACAATTACCTATTTTAAAGTGTATACTCCAGTGGCCATCTAGTGCATTCACACTCTTATGCAACTACCACCTCGGTCTAGTTTCAAACTTTTTATCATCCCACTCTTAAGTTTTTCATATTAGTTTATGTCACCAGTCTTGAAAAAAGGTCCCTCCCCCCCATATCTGACTTTGTCCTATCTGTTTCTGACTGGCCTTCATCAGTTCCTATGACTCATCCGTGTGTTTATTCAACAGACATCGAGCATCTACTATGCAGTAGGTACTATGCTAGGTAGGTACTGAGGTCACAACAGTGACAAAGGACACACAGGTCCTTGCATTTAGGGGCCTCATAATCTAGTGGGGATTTAGACACTGAATATATAATTACCAGAAAATTAATTTAAATTAGATCAATGCTTGGGGTGCCTGGGTGGCTCAGTGGGTTAAACGTCTGCCTTCAGGGGCGCCTAGGTGGCTCAGTCATTGAGCATCTGCCTTCAGCTCAGGTCATGATCCCAGGGTCCTGGGATCGAGCCCCGCATCAGGCTCTCTGCTCTATGGGAAGCCTGCTTCACCTCCACT